CCTATGTATCTTATAATGTAAAATCTATTATTATTCAAACTGTGTGCACTACTCCAAGATGCCATTTATAAACGTATCTTTCAAGAGTTGTCTTTGGGGCTGGGGACTTGCCTAGCACATGTGAGGCACTGGGTTCAATTCTCAGCACCACATATAAATAAATAAATCAAACAAAAATCCATCAACGACTAAAAGAAAAAAAAAAAAAGAGTCATCTTTGTTCATTCAATGGTATCTTTTTTGACTCAGGGGCCAGTGGCTACAATTGTCCCTATCTGGTCAGCACCATGGGCCAGAGCAGAGGCTGTCGGTGGAGGTGGCCTGGACATGGCTAAAAGGCTGGGGCAACAGCTGCTGTTGTCTAAACCGTTTTCTTCCTTTGGTGTCCCTAACTCATGTGATGAGTGCCAGGCTCATGTCCCCTTTCCTTCTTGCTCCTCTTTGGGGTAGCATTGCCCATAAGCAACCCCTTCTTAATGTCACCCAGAGGGTCCCAAGTGGACTCTTCTAACCAGGATCCTGTGAAATCTCATTTCAGGCTCTTGTTTCCCTCAACTTTAGGGAAGGCATGGCTCGGAGACTCTTAGCCCAGGGCTTCACACACACACACACACACACACACACACACACACACACTGCTCAATTAGGCCGGCTGGAGTCACCAGGAAGTGAGTTTCCGAGTGGATGACTCCAGTGAGGGTGCAGCTGGAATTTTCCAAGTTACTCCTGTGGGTCACACAGGAAGCTGATCTGTGGCAGGGGAGGGGAAGTGGACACTTGGCTTGCCTCTGTGTCCCCCCGGAACCCTATGCTGTAGACACTCTAGTTCTTATCTCGCCAAGGCCTAGAGAGAGGTGAGCTCTACTCTAGGTCACTCCCTAGTGGCTACCATTGAATGACTCCAGGGTCAACTTCAGCTGGAGCCACAGCCTCGTGGCCCACGGGAGGACTCAGAGAGGTTCAGCCCCGGCAGCCTACACCAGCATCGAGAGGATAACCGGTGCCCTTCCAGGACACCTTCCCTGGAGCCTCGGGGCCTCCTTCCTTCCCTTCATCTGTTGACCATTCAGGAAGGCTTCTGGGGTGCCCCAGGAACAGCGCTCCATCCTTTGGTGAGAAAGTGAGTCTGCAGCCAACGTCAGAAAGAAAAGAGCCCTCACTCAGCACCTGCTCATGTGCATGTTGTCATGTGCTAGGGTCACTGCAGGAGTGAGGTGTGGTCTCTGTGCTCGGGAACTCACAGCCTGGTTGTGCTGTTATTCAACTGTTATCCAGCCCCTGTGGTCCCAGCTCTCTCTCTCTCTCTCTGTCTCTCTCTGGTACCAGGGATTCAACCCAGGGTGCTTAACCACTGAGCAACATCCCCAGTCCTTTTTAATATTTTTTTATATAAAGACAGAGTCTTTCTGAGTTACTTAGGCAGATTTTTTTTTTTTTTTTTTTTTTTTTGTGATGCTGGGGATTGAACCCAGGGCCTTGTGCCTGTGAGGCAAGCACTCTACCAACTGAGCTATGCTCCCAGCCCATCTGAGTTACTTACGGCCTCACTAAGTTGCCGAGGCTGGCTTTGAACTTGCGATCCTCTTGCCTCAGTCTCCTGAGCTGCTGAGATTACAGCCTGGCACCACCGCTCCCAGCACATCGTATATATATATTTAATATTCACAAGCCTTTGTGGAGGTGCCATTATGATCTTACAAATGAGGAAACTGAGGCTGCAATGTTAAATGAATTTCCCAAGATTCTTTGAGCAGCTCAGAAAGGTCGGATTCCTTTTCACAGTAACGGGAGATGAGAGTAGTTCGGGTTTGCACTGATGGCCGCAGGCCATGCAAAGTACAACAGCCCACGCCTCCACACTCATCAAGACCTGGGCAGCAAACGGTACCGGGCTGTATTCTTTCTATCCCAGTTGTTAAGTTAAAAAAGAAAAAAGTCAGTTTAATTTAAGAATGTCTTTGATGAACTAAAAATGGTTAATGCTAACCCTCAAGGACACGTGTTTTTAATATTTTGGGAGGTGAAGTAGGAAGCCTGAGTAGCTCACTTCTGCACACCAAACAATGACAATTGCCAAGGGAAAAGCACTTCAGCGACTGCTTGAGTTATAGGCTAAACTAACCACTGGTTAATTGGCCTAGTTTTCTTCTTTAAGGTTTCTATACTTTCCAAGTTTTATTAATTAATTAATTAATTAATTTATGTGCTGGGGATTGATCCCAGGGGTGATTAACCACTGAGCCACATCTCCAGCCCATTTAATTTTGAGACAGGGTCTTGCTAAGTTGCTTAGGGCCTTGCTAAGTTGCTGCGACTGGCTTTGAACTTGTGATCCTCCTGCCTCAGCCTCCTGAGCTGCTGGGATTACAGGAATGCACCACTGTGTCTGGCTGTTTATTTTTTCATGGAATACTATTTTTACTGGAAAGACTGATTGACAAACTATGGTTATTCAGACGTGAATATTCGGTAGACAAATTCTTGAAAATGAACAAAGCCAGCCTGCCACTTCAAGAAGCATAGCTAACATGTATCTCTTCTGCCAGTTGCAAAGTTTGAACTTTCAAGCAAAAAGTGGAATTTTAGAAAGCTTGTATTTTTCAGCTTCTCAGTATGTACACCTTTCTGGTGATGTTAATGGTGATATTAATGAAGGTGATGTTTTTGGTATCGTATAATGAAATGTGTCCGCATTTGGAAGATCTGCACAACTCAGTGAACAAAATTTTTCCAAATGACAGAGGTAGATGTTACAGAATCATGAATGGGTAAAAGATTCATTCAAAGTGCAAGGTAGAATAATTAGTTGTAATGTAACAGGGAACAAAATGTTCAGTGATCTAGTTTCATGTTTCACATTGCAACTTACCTTTAAGAAGTTCAAGAGATACTACTTAATGAGTTTAGATGTGGTTTCAAAGTATATTCAAGTTACCTGAAAGTTCATTAAAGTATGTCTCTCCTTCCAGCTACATCTCTGGCTCCATTTTCTTCATAGATATTGACCAACATGTCAACAAATTGGGTGTAGACTTAGATATGATAATCCAGCAACAGTATTAGGGAGATTTATAAACATGTAAAAACAGTATGAAAGATGATATGTCATGAGCTTTGTAATGTTTTGAACAACCAATAAAAAAATAAACGTAAAAACAGTATTACTTTCCTTTGCTTTAGAAGTTGCAACTATTTTTCAAAGAAATATGTCACTTATATTAGCGTGTATTGGGTGTCTCATTATATTAAATTAATTGCTAAGTAAATATCTTAAATGCCTTAGTTTTAATTTCTATTGTAGTAAAATTGGATAGATGTGAATCTCGTAGATCAAAGCTCTTTGGAGTTCACAATCATTTTGAAGAGTGACATCTTGGGACCAAAAAGCTTGGGAACTGCTGCCCTACGGAATCACAGCCCCTGGTCTCTTGCTGGGTCAAGCAGGTGCATTCCTATCTCTGGTAATCCATGAAGAAGGATTTTGGACAGAGTTTCTGGCCACCCTCCTGGAGGGGCCACCCAGTAGACTGATAGGCTCAGGTGAGGAGGTTCCCATAGTCTACTAGGACGCCGTGGAATGCATCTTACTGTATCCATAATGGAATATATGGAGGGTTTTTTCTCTCTATTTTTATTTGTTATAATTAGTTACACATGACAGTAGACTGCATTTTGACACATCGTACATAAATGGAGTATAACTTCTCATTCTTCTGGTTGTACATGGTGTAGAATCACACCTGTCACATCAGTCAAATGTGCACATAGGGTAATAATGTCTGATTCATTCTACTTTCCTTCCTAACCCATGCCCCTTCCCCTTCTTTCATTCCCCTCCATCTAATTCAAAGTACTTTTCCTAGCCCCTCCCTTTATTGTGAATTAGCATCTGCACATCAGAGAAAACATTGGGCCTTGGGTTTTTTTTTTTTTTTGGATTGGCTTATTTCATTTAGCATGTTATTTTACCATTTACCAGCAAATGCCATAATTCCATTCTTCTTCAAGGCTGAATAATATTCCACTGTGCATATATACACACCACCTTTTCTTTATCCATTCATCTGTTGAAGGGCACCTGTGTTGGTTCCACAGTTTAGCTATTGTGAGTTGAATTGCTATAAACATCGATGTGGCTGCATCACTGTCGTATGCTGATTTTAAGTCCTTTGGGTACAAACCAAATAGTGGGATAGCTGGGTCAAATGGTGGTTCCATTCCAAGTTTTCTGAGGAATCTCCATACTGTTTTCCAGAATGGTTGCACCAATTTGCAGTCCCACCAGCAATGTATAAGTGCATATTTTCCCCCACATCCCAGCCACAATTATTATTGCTTGTATTCTTGATAATTGCCATTCTGACTGAAGAGAGATGAAATCTTAGAATAGTTTTGATTTGCATTTCTCTAACTGCTAGAGATGTTGAACATTTTTTCATATATGTGTTAATTGATTGTAGTTCTTACTCTGAGAAGTGTCTGTTTATTTCCTTAGCCCATTTATTGTTGGGTTTTTGGTTTTTTTGGTGTTAAGTTTTTTGAGTTCTTTATATATTATAGAGATTAATGCTCTATCTGTGGTGCAGGTGGCAAAGATTTTTGGAGGTAGGTATTTTTTCAAAAGAGAAATGAAACATTTTCTAGGAAGATTGTTGATTTTTAGAACCAGAAAATTTGCAAAAAAAAAAAAAACAACACTTTAAAAAGTCAGGTGTGACAATAACAAACTCATTAAGAAGAGTCAGTCTGAGTATTTTCTTTGAAAAGCATCCTTCTGCCCAGGCCTCTCTGTGGTAGTTCCAGAGCTGGAGGAGAAGTTGTGCAATTGCATTGGGGGGATTGGCATCCCTTGGTGTGCTTCTCGGGGAATCTGTTGGGTTTGTGAGATTTCCTCTGGCAGCTGAGCTACAGTGCTGAATGGATCCAGCAGCTGCACCTACCAGGGTGGAATGAGCAGGGTGGGATATGTCTCTACATTTTCTCTTTTGCTTCTCCCTCAGGGGTGAAGAAGAGAACCAAAGTCATCAAGAACAATGTGAACCCCGTGTGGAATGAGGTATGTGTTTTTATCCTATCCCCTCCTCTCCTCCTCCTTCTCCTTCTCCTCCTTCTCTTCTTCTTTTTCTTCCCTTCCTCCCTCTGTCTCTCTGTCCCTCTCTGTCCTGTCTGTCTCTGCAGGACAAGTTAGGGGCTTTGGCAGAGGTGGCTTTTCTCAGTGGTGTCCTACAGGGGCTGGTTGTCCAGAATGCTAACCAAAGTCTCCTGATGGGGTCTGGATGCATGGGGAGCCTTTGCTCTGGGGCAGGCTGAGGAGCCTCTGGCAGGGCTACCTGACATGGCACTACTAAGGGCGTGGCTTTTGAATGAGCACCATCTTGGTCTCTGAGGACCCTGCAGGGTTACATGGCATGTTTCCAACTATGCTTTTGACCTGGTTTGCTGGCATGAGTTGGATTGAGTTGGACCATGGAAGAGTGGACCACGAGAGTGTGGCCTCCTCTTCTGTTGCTTTCAGCTCTCACTATCACCTCTGAGGCTCTGGAACTCTGATATTCATTCATTCATTGGTGCATCCAACCATCCATCCATCCATCCATCCATCCATCCATCCATCCATCCATCCATCTATCCATCCACCCACCTATCCATCCATCCATCCATCCATCCATCCATCTATCCATCCACCTATCTATCCATCCACCCACTCACCTACTTGAATGGATGCATGAACACAAACCAGACAGTCTCTTCTCCTGGGGGCCACAGGTTAAGATATCTTTTCTTCTTTTCTTCTAGGGCTTTGAGTGGGACCTCAAGGGCACCCCCCTGGACCAGAGCTCTGAGCTTCATGTGGTGGTCAAAGACCATGAGACCATGGGAAGGAACAGGTGAGATGGGGGCTCCATGGCTTGAAAGCACAGGTAGGTCAAGGTGTATGTAAACTCCAGAATCTGGGCTGGAGAGCTGGTGTTTGAGTTCAGCATTGATTCACTGGGGACCGCCTCTCCTGGGCCAGAAGAAGTGGTCCTCAGTAGATGCTCGGAACAAACTCAGTAATGGCCCCAGGAACATGGCCGCGGGTACAGCTGACAGCTGCCCAGGTTGCAGGGGAGAGAAGATGGGCTTGAATCAGGTGACCCCAAGTTTTTGCAGATAGCGTGTTCATGTGCCCCAGGAGCAGGGAGGAGAAGGCTCCCTGTCTCTTGCTCCAGCCCAGAAGCAGGTCCTCCCTTCCCCCTCCTCATTCCCTCCCTTCCCAGGCTGGGCTGGTGAGGGTGGGCAGGCAGAGCGAGGCTGCAGCTAGTGGAGCACCGTGGAGGAGGGCTTTGTAGAAGACACGAGACTGAAGGAGAGATTTGTGGTTTAGAAGACAGAACAGTATTCATGGGCAATACAGACTGGCATTTCTCTGTGGCAGGTTTCTGTTGAGTTCTTTCATGTACCTGGTGGGGGGAAGGGTTTCTGGGCAGGGGAACTAGCAAGAGGAAAGTCATGGTGGCAAGACAGGCAATGAATGTCACCTCTGCCATTGAGCTCCTGAGTCTTCCTGTGGGGAAGAATAGTGGGGGGAATAGGCAAGACCAACCCACCTTGCTCACTGATGGAGCTGGGGATTGTGGTGTGTTGGACTGGGAGACTGCAGAGTGACAAGCCTTGCTCTCTGGGGAGGGGTTCAGTGGTCCCTGGTGGGTATGACCGGGGGCCACTGTGTTAGAGCCAGCGTAACGCCTGGTACTGTTTGCTGATGTCTGGGACCAAGGCGCAGGCTTGGGTTTGCTGTTCTGTGACCCATTCACAGGGGAGCCTTTGTCTGGGAACTGGGTCAGCCGGTTAGCCAGTGTCTGGGGCCTGGAGGCTGACTATGTCTTCCTGTGATTTGGGAGAGGAGGACTAGGGCGGATCGCAGGTGGCCAAACACCTGGAAAGTTTGAAATCTTAAAAATCCGAAAGAGAAATCCTACACTGCTGTGCCTTTGTAGCACCTGAGGCTTATGGATTCCAGCCCCATGGCCCAGGGGGCGGGTGGGAATCAGTTCAGGTTAAGCTACCTTGCCCCACAGAGACTGTGGAAGATGAAATGGCCTCCAGCAAACCTAAATGGCAGACATTGGGCGTTCCTTGAAGGCTTCCTGGAGGAGGCCCACGTTGACTTGGAGTTGGGGCAGGCTCTGGAGAGGGTATTCCAGTGTGGAGGTGTGGAGGGCAGCCTGGCTCAGGCCTTATGGTGTGTGTGTGGAGGTCTGCCTCATGACATATGCAGCCCTTTGAGGAGGGGCAAGTGGGGCTGCACTGGGCCTCCAATGCCAGGCTGGGGATCTCGACAGTAAGGCCACCCACTGATGCTTACCAAACGCTTGGCAGAGTACCTGGCCCTGTGCTGAGCCTGATAGACAAGACCCTTTTCCATCCCTGAGGGACTAGTACTGTGACTGTCTTCATTACAGGTGGGGAGACTGAGGCTCTGAGAGATTGGTTAGTTTTCTCAAAAGCTGGTGATGGTGGATGTGTGATTGGAGGGCGGGTTATCATGACCTGCTCATAATACCCATGCCCGTGTGCCTCAGGGGACTCTGGAAGCCCCAGGTGGTTTCTGGGCCCATCTAGAGAGTTCATTTCCCCCAGTGATGCTGGAATTGAGGGTTTAGTGACGGAAAGGTGGATAGGTTACAGCAGGGCATGCTGAGGAAATGCACGTTTTATTTTCATAATCGTATTCAGTGTTGTTATAAACTGTTGGGGGGTTGTTTTCTCAGACCACAAAGACAATGTGAGAGAAGGGGCTATGCACATATTTTCATTCAATTCAAGGGCCAGGCTGAATCCTCAGAATGATGGTAAGCCAGGGTCACACATGGGCCGTGGGTCATGTGTCACATAGAGGGGGCTGGGTGCATGGAAACTTGCGGCCTTCCTACTGGCCCTCATGGATGCCTTTTAGATCCTGGGGGTAGCTGGCTCCCTGAGAATCAGTTCCCCATGACCAAGTCACTGCAGGTCAGTTTTGAGATCAGTTCCTCAAACCTCAGTTGCATAACAGCTAAGTTACCGAACTTAACAATTGACTTATAACTATAAATACAGTTACATTTATATAGTAAATTATAACTACTGGTATAATTTTTCATACCCAAGCACTTACTTTAATTTTGTATTTTAAGCAATTAAAAATTAAATTGCAATTACACTAAATTAAAATGTAAAGTTATATCCATAAATATCTGAAGAATATGAGAAGCTGTCAAAGCAACGTTGTCCTGGAAGAATGTAATAGGCACAAATGGGGTGCGCAGCCTCCACAGCAGTTTGCTCGACTGTCTGGTGCCTGGAGGTGTCCCCGTCTGGAGCAGCAGGAGAGCAGGGTCCTATGATTAGGTGGAGAAGTACTTTCTCAGTTTCAAAAAAAAAAAAAAATCAGAGCCTTGAAGCATTAAAAATTCTAAGACTGTCAAAATGGGAAACATTCCAGGAAGTGACAAAGAGCAGCCACAGGACATTTTAAATATTGAAGGAAAAGGGAGAAAGTTCAATGAACTTAGTTCAAGGATCCTTTGACACTGAACGCCCACTCACTGCCTTCAGGCCAACACTGTCCATTCGGGAGGTGACGGTGACCGTAGTTACCAGTTGTCCGCAGACCTCTGGTGGGTTTCAGCGAGGGCCCACGGGGTTCCCATGGCCAGTCCCTTCACTGCTGGGATTCCTGGGTGTGTCCTCCCTGGTCTTCTTCCAGCAGGGGCTGGGGGACCACAGCAGAACTTCACTCATCTGTCTCCATCTTATCTCCGCTCCCTCTTCCAAACCTCCATCCTCTTCCACTTATCTCCATCTGTGTCTAGAGTCCCCTCAGCGCCTCCCTTATTCTTTGTAACCATTTTCCACACCTTGTGTCCACAAGTCTCTTGCTCTTCTCCTTTTCTTTCTAAACCTCCTCCTCTTTTAATTCATTCTCTCCTTCTCTTCCCCCTTTTCCATCCTGCTCCTCTTTTCCTCTGGCTTCTGGGGCATTTGGGACTTCTGTCTTTTCTTCAATGATCACTGGCCTCCTTAGATCAGGTCTGCTGGCCTGGAGTGGGATCGTGGGAAGCTCTCCATTCACTCATATCTCAGGAAGAGGACCTTAGTCTTGGAACTGTCTCAAGGCTGTTTAATACCCCCCTACCCACCTGAGAGGCAGCCCCAAGCCTGAGAGACCGTGGGCCAGCTTCAGGGCTGGATGAACTTTGGGTGGACCAAAATGAGGTTTCAAATGCTCATAAAAGGAAGCTCTGCTCCTCTGGATGGAAGACACTGAAGCAAATCCAGCTGGAGGGTCTGGAATCTGGTCCTGGGCTGCCCTGGACCACTTCCTGTTTATTCTGGGCCTTTCTGGGAGGAGCTGGAGGAGAGATGATCCTGGTCTCGGACGGAGTGTTTGGCCTGTGGGATGTTCAGCCCCGAGGCGCTGATTTCTAGATCAGAGCAGGGGTGTCCAACTCCCCAGGGCCTGGGCCTTTCCACTGTGCAGCTGGACTGAGAGCCACCCAATCCCGATTCCGGACTAGTTCTCCCCAGTAGAACTTTCTGAGGTTATGAAAACGTCACATCTGAGTGGATTAGGGAAATGGAGGAGCTGAGACTTCAACTGTATTTCATCTTAGTGACTTTGAATGACTCCATGTGGCCAATGGCTACAGTATTTAGACAGGGCAGCTCTAGATTTTTTAGAACAGGGTTCTAACCCTGGCTGCCTCTTAGAATTCCCTGGGAATTTAAAAACATACCCATGTCTGAGCTCCACACCAAATAGATCAAACAAGAAGCTTCAGTGGGCTGCAGGCATCAGGACTTTTGGAAACTGCCCACAGGAGGCCAGGGTACATCCAGGGTGGAGAACCCATGGAGTTAGAGCCACGCTGCCACTTTGAAAAGGAATTGTTTTCAAATTTTTCATGGATGAGCTGAGGAACAGATATAAGCAGTTATTCTCGTAATTGCTTGAATATGTAATCACCATAAAAATCATTCAAATAAACAGAACAATAAGTTCTAAGTCAAACTAAGAACAATAACAAACAATGCATAATTATTTAATAAAATAATTTTAAAAATATATATTTTTTGGAACAGGGGATTGAACCCAGGGTCGCTTAACCACTGAGCCATATCTCAGCCTTTTAAAAATATTTTATTTAGAGACTTTTAATATTTTATTTAGAGACTGAGTTGCTTAAGGTATTGCTAAGTTGCTGAGGCTGGCTTTGAACGTGTGATCCTCCTGCCTCAGCTGCTCAAGCCACCTGGATCACAGGCGTATGTCACTGTACCCAGCACAAATATTAAAAGGAAGCTGAAACTAAACATGGTGAAATTGTTAGAGAAATGAAAAATAGAACAAAGAATCCTGCTGGTAACTAAACCCTGATATATGAAAATGAGACTTATTAAAATACAGTTCCAGGGGCTGGGGTTGTGGCTCAGTGGTAGAGCGCTTGCCTAGCATGCATGGGGCCCTGGGTTCAATTCTCAGCATCACATAAAAATAAATGAATGGAATAAAGATATTGTGTCCAACTACAACTGAAAAAAAAAAAAACAGTTCCATTAAAGGCAGCTCAAAATGTCAGGGAGTGAGTGATATTTGATAAAACTGGATGTGGACTGAAAAAAAGGAAGGAAAAAAAATTCTAAGAACCCAATCTGTGTTGGGAAATTTAGGCAGAAAGTAATTGTTCCTAATGAAAATAATATTTTTAAAATGAAAAGAAAAAAGAAAAAAGGAAAGAGTTTAATCGTGCTGCATAGAAAATGTAACAACATTTTAAACTAGCTTAATTTAATTTGTTTTGGAAAATGCCGCTAGAAATTACTGAATAGAGGTGTTGTTTTTTTTTTTTGTTTTTGTTCTACG